CTTAGTGATGAACACAATATTTTTTGAGAGACCTGAAGTACAGATGTTAGTGCAACACCATCTTGGTACCAAAATTTCATTCATCAAAATGTAAATAATTTTGAATTATCCAACACTGTTGTATATCCAGTATCAACATGCTACATCTCATATTTTGATGATGCAATGTTCTAAGTCAAGACACCCAGCTTAATGAGTAAGGAGTACTTCATGAACACAGAGCTTCATTCTCACCTTTGTGCCAAAGAGAGGACAAAAACTTAATGCTAAATGGAAACGGAGCACCCCCTGGCCTCTATTAGTAGCCAAGCCCCATAGCCCAACAGCAAGGATATTATCAAGATTCATGAAGATTGAATAACAGACACACACAAGACCAAGCAGGTACTTCCAAGAGCAGCCATTTGGGACATATTCTGTGCCCACAGCTCTGTCTTCACCCTTTTAAGAGCTCTATGTCCCTGTTCCAAAAGACAGAGCTTGAGTTCTATGGGATAGAATGAGAAGACAACTTTCTTTCCTCTTCTCCAAGTCAATGGGGTTTGCTGCGTGATGAAGACAGACATACTCCTTGTGTAGTTCCCTTGTCAATTATTGTGGTGTCAGCAGATTTTATGGGAGGAAAGATGAAGGAATGGACAGGCTCACTACTCAGAGCAATATTTGGATGCAATTGTGAGACTCCACTGGCACTACTTTAGGATCTGCAAGTTGAAGCAAGTTGCCCTGCTCTTAGGTAAGGAATTAACTAAATCAATTTTATCTGAATCAATTTGCACCGTTCAGATGATATGTTCTTAAAGCAACCAAGTCACTCTGATTTACAGGAGTACTTCCCAGAGGTGGCCTTGCAAGGTACAACATGCCAGATGAGAATTCTAGTAGTCATGAAAACAAATAAGAGGGACACGACCACCCTTTCATGTCCCTAGCCTCTACCCATGTCCTGCACAGCCCCTCCGTGACCTAATCCTGGAGCTGCAAGTATGGAGTTTGGCCTGGAACAGGCAGGAGGCCAAAATACTGGGCTAAATCTGGGGCCTCAGCCCAATCAGCAGAGGTCCTCTGCACATTATAGGTGCTTAATATTGTTGACTCTGCTACTAGGTGATAATTGTGCTTATATAGCCATTCCCCAAATTATTTATGCCACTTTTCATTAGAAACTAACAAACTGCCCTCATATAGGCTAAAAATGGGTGAGGTTATGTCTTCAAATTAGTCTGACTCAGATTGTTAGGTTAGAGTGCATTAGATATGATTCAAGCCCCAACTTAAATGATCATTATTACTCTGTATGCCTAGTTGTATGCATGTTTTCATTCAGTTGAACATGTATTGGAGACAAAACAGATTTAGGACCTAAGTACAATGATAAGATTTGACTCTGGGGGTGGGAGGCTAATAATGCTAAAGTAAGATTTTCAGTAAGCTAAGATTCCTACTTACACCCAGTCAATCCACTAACTCAGTAAAAGGTAAAGGAAGTGCTTTCTTTGAAAAGTATAATGTTGGCCGGCTGTGGTGGTTCGCACCTGTAATCCCAACACTTGGCTTTGGCAGGTGGATCCCTTAAGCTCAGGAGTTTGAGACCAGACTGGGAAACATGGTGAATCCTGTCTCTACAAAAAATTCAAAAATTAGCTAGGTGTGATGGTGTGTGCCTATAGTCCCAGCTACTAGGGAAGCTGAGATGGGAGAATTGCTTGAGCCAGAGAAGTCAAGACTGCAGCAAGCCATGATCACGCCACTGCACTCCAGCCTGGGTGACACAGCGAGACTTCATCTCAAAGGGGAAAAAAAATTATAATGCTGAGGGTTTACAGAACCCTTTCATCTTCAAAGGACCAAGTCAAGACTAACAATACCCAGTACACAATATTATAGCTTTTACACAAGTGCACCAACTAAGAAAGAAAAGTCATAGGAATGTCCTAAAGCCATAAGCCAATGTAACATCAGATTTGGGATGAACTCTGATCTTCTTGACTCCTGGACCTGTGTTTTAACCACTGCATTAGCTATTCTTGCATTGCCTTAAAGAAATACCTGAAACTGGGTAGTTTATAAATAAAAGAGGTAGGCTGGGCATTGTGGCTCTTGCCTATAATCCCAGCACTTGGTGAGGCCCTCAGATCGCTTGACCTCAGGAGTTCGAGACCAGCCTGAGCAATATGTCAAAACCCCATCTCTACAAAAAATACAAAAATTAGCTGGGTGTGGTGGCATGCACCTGTGGTCCCAACTACTCAAGATGCTGAGATAGAAGGATTGCTTAAGCCCGAGGCAAGACCCTTTCTCAAAAAAAAAAAAAAAAAAAAAAACAGAAAAGAAAAGAAAAAAAAGAAAAGAGGTTTAATTGGGTCACAGTTCTGCAGGCTGTACAGGAAGTGTGATGCCAGCATCTGCTTCTGAGGAGGACTCAGGAAGCTTACAATCATGGAGGGAGGCAAATGGGGAGCAGGAGATTCTCACATGGTGTGAGCAGAAGCAAGGGAGAAAGAGAGCTGGGGGGAAGTGCCGCACGCTTTTAAACAACCAGATCTCAGGAGAGATTACTCACTATCACAAGGACTCACAGTCAACCAAGGTGATGGTGCTAAACCATTCATGAGAAATCTGCCCTCATGATCCAGTCACCTCCCATCAGGCTCCACCTCAACACTGGGGATTACATTTGTACATAAGATTTGGGCAGGGATAAATATCCAAACTTTATCAAACACATGAATCAAGTTGTGAGGAGCAATCAGGAGAAATCTAATTCACATTATATACCCATGTTAAGTTCATTGATTGGGCAGGAATATATAAAAATAGCAAAGACAGTTTCTCCCTCAGTACAGTCAAGAGAGGAGACAGACAGGGGGATGTGAGTGTCGGGGGGGTGGGGAGGGGGAAGCTAACCATCTGGGGTAGAATGAAACCACTCCCCAAACAGAAGAAAAGTAGGGGAGGAGAACTCCCTATTCAGCAACTCCCTTCTATTGGAATATTGCCAGAGAACTGATTAGAGTACTGGGACGGAGCAGAATGGGGTTAAAGGCAGCCCTTCTGGCCCAAGTTGAGAATCAGAGGGATCAACCCACACACGGTACTTCTCTATTTAGTTTCCAATATATTCCTTTATAAGGGCTCATCCTCAGAGACACACAACCATCACCATCTATCCGCCCCACACTCAGAAATCCTCAAAAGGCAAAGTGGTTGAAGAAGTAAGATGCAGCATGGCTGGGAGGCTGGGAGGGCACAGGTTGATGGGGAAAGCCTGGGGTCCAAGGCGCTCTAGTGGGGGATTTCCATAGTCATGTAAGTGTTGTGACCTAGGAAGGTGAGTGATCATTGAAACGGTAGGGGACAGTGGAAGAGAGAGAGAAAGTAAAGAGTAAAACGACCCCAGGGTTTCAATTTCCTGCTCTAAGAAGCAACACTTCTGAAAAATAATGTGCAACACACGAAGTGCTAAGTAACCTAAACCTTATCATCACCAGTAATATTTCTGTAAATCTACTCTGCCGTTATTTACTTAATTCTTACAAGGCAGGAATGGAAAATCCCCACTCTCCCTGGTTGCGTCGCAGTCTGTCCTGTGGACATATGTAAGTTTTCCCTCTCCCCCACAGAGCTGGTTTCACAGCTAGGCCAGAAATAAGGAACCATCCAGACGGAGACTCGAGGATCGCTCCCCTGGCAGAAAAGGGATTAAGTTTCACCGGGCCTCCCCGCCGGCAGGGCGTCCGCAGCCACGCCGGCTGCTGCGACAGCA